AAAAAAAAAAAAAAAAAAAAGGATGAGCCGTGATATATCATACTTTGCAGTTCTTCAAACCTAATCTGCAGTCTTTGAAGCTCGCTTCCGCATCTCAGTAGCTTCCATTGAAGAATTCCTTGATCAATCTACCAAACCTTTCTTGTACCACCCCATCTCTTGAACTTCTGATTGCGGCCAAGGAAATACTGATAGCAGAGTCTAATAATAAACCCCGCATGACTTGAAGTTAATTTTTCTAGGCTCCTATATAATTTCAGGTGTTTAGAGAATACAGATTGCTCGGATATTTTTAGTAGTGGAAAATTCCGGTAAGACTCCAGAATGCGGAATGTGGCCGGATTGTCGCGTGGAGTTGAGTCCAATCACTCTGGTCGGTTTGCCGGATTGGGCTTGATGTTCAAACAAGGATAGTATAAAAGCCCCTTATAGTTTAGTAAATCCCTAATTTATGTTGTGTGCTTACAGCTTCATGACCTGTTTGAGAGGAGCCTCATGGCTTTCGTTATTTTCCGACGCAGAAATACATAACACTTTCAGCCATAGCTCCAGCAGTACATCAAAGTCTTGGATTTCAGCCAAATATAGATTGGTCGGTATTCAATTAATGACATCATCTTAATGCAGACAGTGTCCCCCCTCTCATGCAAGCTAGGAAGGCAAGAACAAAGGCTCACAAGAGTCATCAGAGAAGGAAACTCAAAGTTCAAATATTGCACACGGTATCAATTCAAGCACAAGTTCCTTCCCATAAGTTCATGGCAAGACTAAAAAGGGCTGCTACATAGCTTTTCAACGAAGAGGAGAGTCATGCGGTTGATTGGCAGACTGAAAACAACACGAATCTCAATCCCAAGCCAAAGAAGCACTGGTCACAAACACTGCTATTAGTCAGCTTAGTGCCAGCATTTGCCCCAAGCATCTTCTTTGTTGCCGCCAAAGTTGATATCCCAAGCCTGCTTGCAAGTTGTCTCCCAGGGACCACCGTCAATGCCGCGGCCAATGCCCTTATCAACGCACTAGATAATCAGCATTCATTTTCTGGGATGCAGGGTTTGAATACTTACAGAGTAGCCATCCCAGTGGGTGTGAGGCTGGTTGGAGCCCCAGAGGGCGCAGGCAGCCTGGCTAAGATCCTGCCTGTATAAGCCGCGGACGGTGCAGCCACAGTTGTGGTGAATACCGGCCATGGCACTGAGAAATCAGATTTGTTGTCGAAGTGGAGGACTTATGACTTACGCGCCGAAGAAGAGGACTATGAGGCTGAGAGAGCTCATGTTGGATGAGGTGTTTGAGTCTTGAGGACTGGCAGTTGTAGTAGTAGTTATTGTATTATTGCTGATGTTGGTGATGTTGGTGAAGACGAGAGTGGAGATTTGTAAGAGAAGTTGGGAAAGTTGATCCTTTTATATTTCAAAATTCTCCTAGAGATACTTGCTCTTACAAATCATTCCGTCTCTCGCTCCGGCTTGGAGGGCCGTCCGGGGGGGCAACTGGCCAACCTCGTCCGCGAATAGCGATTCGGCTCATGGAAGTCAATGACTATCCGACTTCATCATGAATAAAGCAACTGCTGAGCTACACATCTTACATCCGGCTCATCGGCATCATAAGTTTCACTTTCCAAACTTGGACATTCGTGAAGCCATTAGGTTCTCAGCCTGTGAACGTGAATTGCGTTCAAGGTGCTGTTCTCCGAAACATTCGATAATCTAGACGAGGATGAATAGCGTTCAATAAAGATAGTTCTTCCCAACCCTTGACATAGCATGACGTACCCAGCATCGTGTTAGAACGTCAGCCTCCCATTGGATATTAATACGTGGAAGTGCGACAAGGTATGGCCGGTGAGCAGTGGAGGGAGGGTCGTCTATGGTAATATGCGGGCAATGACATGCTGCAAACCTTCTTCACATTGGAAAAAGCTTCTTCTCTGTAGGACGTTCAGTGCACCGTTTCATTGCCGACAGGGCTATCGTGATGCGCCATTACTGACAGCAGGACGCGACCCATACCAATGTGAAGCCCACGTGGGGGTCTCGGTCAGTTTACTTGCCCAATCGAACACCGACCACGATCTTGAGTATCGACCTGTAGGAACAGTTCAATTACAAGCACGGACTATTTAGACGGGTAATTCGGAACCAAAAGTGGATACAGTAATGCAAAGTTCCAAAAAGGAAAAAGGGAACATCAGACTATACTCAGTCCATCGACTCATTTAATACCGGCAGATGATGGTGAGAGTCAACCTCCCAATCTATCGCGGATAAGGATGGGTGGGACAAAGATCAACTGGTGTTCTGTTTCAGGTTTGAAAGATGGGCGGCGTAGAAATTGCCGAGAGTCGAGACCAAGCGTGAGTGGGTCGATGTCTGTCGTGATGAAGATGGCAAGGTCGTGAAGTCGGGAGAGACTTGTGAGTAGTTGAGAAAGTCTTGAGTATCATTTGACATCAGTATTGAGGATACTGGCATCTTGGTGAGCGCGAGAAATTATTTAAGACGGCGCTTAAGTCCACACTGTTAACTCACTCAACCATCACAGCACCTTCAGTCACACTTAAATTACTCTTCTACACTGAACACTCAAGTCACTTACAATGGCTCGCTTTATCCTCATCCTCGCCGTCCTGACTACCGCTGCCTTCGCCAACAAGACCGCTGACAGGGTCTTTGAAAAGGCCACCTTTAAGGTCAGCGAGGTCAACTACAAAGTCGACGAAGTCTCCCAATGCATCACCCTCATCCACCTCCAGGCCCTCGGCCAGACCGTCACCAACCTCAATGCCACCGGCGATTACAAGCTCCCTGAGATCCCAACCACCTACATTAACGATCCCACTGCTTGTATCCCTGAGTCTCTCTTCGACCAGTACTTTGAGCCCATCGTTGCCATCTCTAAGGAACAGAACCTTCTTGAATCTTTTGACGCTGAGAAGCTTCACAGCCGCGATCTTGAGGTCTTCAGTCGTGCTCGCAACTGTCCTCAGATCAAGGATGCTACTCTTAGCCGTGTTAATTCTTGGAGTTGTAATAGTGCGCCGCACCCTGCTTCTTGCCGATCTTGCACAAACTTTTCTACTCTCAACTTTGTGGCTGCTTGTGTGGCTTGCGCGGCTAAGGCTAATCAGGAGAGCATCTTTTGCTGTGCTGCTGCTGCTACTAGCTTTGCTACCTACTACTCTCAGGTCTGCCTTGGGAAGTAGATTTACCAATTCTGCCTGTCAAAAGAAAGGGGAAAGTGGGTGCTTTACTGTGGTCGCTGGTTTGATAGAGGATGGTTCATGTTTGTCTGATATTTGTTTACTTCGCCTGTCAGGACAAGATAATTACTTCGTCTTGTTGCGTTCACTCTTTAGGTATAGCTTTCTAGTGATCTAGCCATGTTGTCTTAGGCAGCTGGTTTGCTTGGAATCAAAGTACTCGCTTCCGAATATATACGATGACATGCATCGCGACTTGTTCCAAATCTGCAAACTGAATTAAAAAACCATAACATTTTAGTCAAGTACATATAGCGTGACATATCACTTAGACAACCTTGGTCGTTTCATCCCGAGAAGATTATTACCGAGATCATCAATATTCAGATCCCTATCAGCCTGTCTGTCAGCCTTGAGGATACGTAACCAATCGCGTCAAGACACAAACTAGATTCCATGCGTGGCGCACTTCAAGGTCATACTTCACATGTTTAACGCGCATTACTCGCGCTGGTTCTCGTAATACACAGCTACGAGCGACAGGTTGTAGGCTAAACAATCACGTTGGGTCCTAAAAGGTCATCATTAAGAGGCTCTATCAAGCGCCTCAACGCTGGGAAGGCAAAAGAAGCTGGCCGTGACTGTATAGGTACTCTTTCAAGAACGTCACCTGTGTCTCAAGGTATGTACCAGTCCGCCCAGTCTCTGTATCAGTATCATGATTAGTATATCAAACGCTCATTCTGGAAGCTCAAGGTCTATAGATGCGAAGTATGTAGCGCTTCATTGAGTAGAGTCCACGCTCTCTCTCTGGCTCTTGGCAACTACAAGCACCTTCAGCCTTCGTAAGAATCAAAATGATTGACAAGAACCAAAGCATCAGCATTCACCCAAGAAGATCGCTATGCATTCACGTTGATAGCACGTTCCAGAAAATTATATGTGATTCAAATCAGGAAATGCAGAGGACATGATGCAGTATAAAAAAAAATCATTTTACTTGTAGGCCGGATAAGTAGAGAGACTGTACATACTCTCATATAGATCTAGACTTATTAGTATTAAATGTAAGCTTGGTGTTGATTACTTTGTAAGCCACTACTCGTGAGCTTTTATAGCTAGTAGCCGGACTTTGTATCGCGATTATTCCCGCAAGTTGTCGGGTATCATTACTTACTAAAAGAGATACAATAATGATCTTTGTCGCCTCATATTCGTAAGCAGTCACGCATAAGCAAGCAGCTGGAAGCGCCCTGTGCTAGGAGTCTCGATTTTTCATCGGGTTGTATTTCCTCTCATTACACAGCCACTGACATAAGCGATAAATTACGTCCATAGCTACCAGTAGCCGTTCAGTGTATTGACTTCCACAAGTCCCGCCGTATCTGTACGGAAAGAGGGATATAGTACAGTATAACGTTTTTACCAAAATCCGATTACGCCCCTCATTTGATCAGTAGTATTGTGCATTCAGTATTCTGAGTCACTAGAGCGCTAAGAGACAAAGAGCAGCATTTTATAACATTCCCGCATTTTCTGCTGTAATGTTGGGACGATGAAAATAGGGACGGCGACAGACGATACCGGCATGGTTCGACAAATTATGGTACATGAGCAGCATCCATTTTTCACGTACAATCATCAAGGTTGGTAGATTCCTTTACTCCACAACTCCTCCAAGCTTTTCTCTACGTCTCCTCCTATACCCCCCATTACTCGGACCAGCATTATCCGGGCGTGCTTCCAGCTTTCGACGCCTAATTGATCCACAGCAAACCTTATCCTATGATTACAGACCTCGCGCCATATGGTTAGCTGTGTTTTCTCTACTTCGGTGTTGGTTCGACTGGTGGAAACGATCGATGCACTGAACAGAACATAAAATAGCCAGAATGACTGCGTGCATTCATTGGCTTCAAGAAGACCCTTGTCTATACCATGATCGCCTGCGATTTGCTGGAGAAGCCAAGCGGTCAGAGTCATGTCGCATAATATGTTGTCTGATACCGAGCATAAGTACAGGAACGTGGCGAGGAAACCGATGCGGCTGCTGACAGCATCCCCGTTTAGAAGGCGAGGTTCGTGCTTGCAAGCTTCCAATCCTTTTGAGATTTGGCAGTTGAGTTCAAGTTTCTTTGTGTACTGCTGCCATGTTTTGGCAACCGGTGTTTCAAGGTCTTCTTGCCACCAACCACATCTTGGTGGTGATGCTGTGAGGTCCCAAATCGAAACCAACAGGAGCGCCATGAAAGCCGGCTGGGATGCTTCCAGAAGCTCGTCAGGCTCACTAGTCCGTATGTGATCTTTAGTCCTGTTTCGAGTGTTTCAGCGAGAGAGATTGGGGAATTAGCATCATCTACATATGGCTTACATCTTCAACATCATTCGCGGTAACATTGGCACCTTATCAATCGCCTTACTCCATTCCTCGACCACCGTCTCCATGGCTTTCAGGTGCCTGTATGAGGCTTCGAACTCTCCTGTCGCGGCCTTTATTGTTCCGTGTCAGCCGCCTCAATTTAATTACCACGTTATATGATATCCATCAAAGCCATCTTACCTCAACTAAAGCAAGAGCAGAAATCGCCAAAACTACATTCTGTCTTCCGGTCGCTTCTGGTATCAAAATTTGTTGTCTTGCGAATTGATACGACGCCGTCTTGTGATACAGGAACGGAAGTCGAACTTCGTCCATTGACCCTGTACTCCAAGCCCATGCGCAGGCTGAGAGCATGACGCATATATGCATATACCCCAAGTTCCCATGGAACCTCTGGATCCTAAGTAAAAGTCAGCTCATGTCACCTTTAACTAGCGAGTCTGCATTGAATTTTCAGTCGGCGTACGTCGAATGTCCCTGTTGATCGGCGATGGACCTCAAACCACGTATTGTAGATCGCGAAACTGATCGAGACTGAGTTAAGTATCGGAGACTTTACGCGTCGGGCATAACTTACAGTGACACAACAGACGGCGCGATGGCTCTGGCAGAGTATCAAACGATTCGCTTCCATATTTATCGACATTGACGCGTGGATCTGTCCTTAATGATTCGTTCAGGACCTTTTGACACTTGGAGCTGTCTATGGTGACGCTGCTGGGCCGGCTTGACCGTAAGGGCTGCCCTGTAATCGGATATATACACTGATTCCCGGTCTGGAGGCAGTTGGTGCTGTGTCGTCATGCTTAGTAAATGATCTCAGTGAAGAATTTCTTAGCCCCGTCAAAGTACTTGCAAGGATTTTGACAATCCTGCTTCCTCTGTTCCATAGCCTGGTATAGAAGCCTTGAGGGGCTATAACCCACTACATGGGTGATCCGACGTACCACATTGGCTTTTGTTCATTACACTTCACATGTTTCGCTTTGCATCGTATGCATCCATACTTGCTCCGGCGATGAAATTTCCGTCTTCGTTCGTGTTCTTTGGGTGGTGCCATGATTTTGTCTGCGGAACTCTCTAAGTTGTGACCTTTGTGGGTATATTTTGGAGTTGGTCAGGTGTGACAGTACCTCTGCCGGGAAAACTGATATTTGATTCGCTGGAAAGTAGGGAACTACCAATGTTGCACTTTTTACCCTCTGGCCTGGTCGACAGAATTCCAAATATGAACAGTTACGCCTATCCTATGTTGGACGCCCAGCAGCAACGCTAAATAATCTGACGCATAGACACTACAACCATCCTCGAATCCAGCGTCATGAACTGGACCCACATGCCTATGATTCAAATTCATTAAGCCTGTCTAGGCTAGTGATCGACCTCGATTTGCACTCACAATCGCTCGGAAACCGCGGTAACGTAGCTAAGCTCGCCAAACTCGCCTATCTCGGACAAACTGTGTCAGGTGCTAAGCCTTACAATGTCAGAGTAAAACAACAATAGCAAGGTTCCTACCGTAGTACCCCAACATAGATAAGAAGGGAGGAAACCCCTCCTCCCTTCAATATACGAATGAGTATGAGTCTTTCTAGGCAATTGTCATTAGGACCCTCTCAAATGACTTGGTCTTAGTATCTGAGGCTGTATCTACCAATCGGATCGCATGGATAGAAGTAGGTATCCGCTTTCTCGGGTATTTGTGCCGCGTTCGTGGTATGTTTTGTGTTGTCATGATGTCAATGGCTCCACTTGAGCAAAACCCTGATGGAATGACACGCGGAACTCTTCCGCATCTTTATCATCTCTGCAGTCATCCCTTGGAATCCCCTCCATTCCTTTTCTTGGTTTTTCTTATCGTTGAGCTAAATCAAACAGTTAAGTGCGTTCCAATTTGTCAGTAATTACTTCATCAGACGGTCGAGACAGGCCTTTTTATAACTCCGCTTGTTCAAATCAATTGTCACAAGCTCGTTTTGTTGCAAATGAACATCGGCTTTTCAGCTAAGACTTAGAGTCAATACCAAAAGATGACATCCCTGTCTATTGCCCGAAAACCTAGTAGTGTGCATTGCGAAGATTCCCAAGCTCCTGTCAGCAGAGAATTTTTGGAAGCTGGTTTCCGGCGCCAAAAAGCTTATTTAAACAAAACCCCTTTCAGACGGAGAAATGCAATATTCACAGTGAACCTGTCGTCCACTCTTCTTTACTGCCTTGCTGAGAGGGGCTGACTTTTAGTTGGCTTTTAATTAGCTTTTAGTTAGATCAGTAATGCAAGTAGTGTGACGGTTGGGGTTTTCAAACCGGGAAACTAGTCCGTACTAGGTTATGTTTGCAGAATACGTAGGGCGTTGTACTGAGCATGTTGGGTTGGCACGTCTCTTAATGATCAAGTAATGCGTGTTAGGCTTATTGATGTAAAGAAGTCTTATTGATAGCTGGTGGGCTAAGTCTATGAAAGTGCTAATGAAAGTGATCTATATACTAATGAATGCTAAGGGTGATCAGTGAGGTCGTCGCGGACCGGATCAGCACTGATCATGACGGATCACCTGTGATCGAAGAGTCTTGGCACTGATCGTTTTGCGGGGCATGTGTTTGATTGGAGGAAAGTGTGGGGTACACGTGATGGAACAGCTGGGTCGTAACAAGTAGGGACCGGGTTGGCAGGATCGTGAATGTCTTTTGTCAAATTCGAGCGTCGACTAGAAAATGACAAAGAAATTCTGCTAAAAATTAACCACAATAGATAAGTCTACAAAAAGTAGGTAGTATGGCAATCCAAGGTATAATTAAAAGACTAGTAAATATCAATTCCATATTAATCTCCATTTACGCCTTCTGTCTTCGTTTCTCTACCATATTCCGTCATCGATCCCGTCCAAATCACAACCCTGTCAAAATGCTGCTTATGAAATGACGTTACACCCTTGTTCGTGGCCCACAGCAACGACCAATAGCAATGCGTTTGAACGCGTACCCTTGTCAGTCTTTTGGAGCCAATACGATGAGAAATAAACGCGTACGCTGATATCAATTTATTTAATGCCTTGAGGATATCAGTTGTGCAAATAGGGACAGGGTTGGCGGGATGGTGAATGTCTTTGTCAAATTCGAGCGCCGACCAGAAAATAACAATTAAAATCTGCCAAAAATCAACATTAGTGGACAAGCAAATAAAAAGTAGAGAGAAGCATAGTGCAAGACGTAATTAAATAACTAGCAAGTACCAAATCCATTTTAATCTTGATTCGCGCCTTCTATTTTATTTTCTATCCCATATTC